CTGCCAAAAAACCCGCCAGCAATCGGAGTGGCAGATCTGGTAAGTCGGGATGGGCACAATGGACGAAGAACAAGGCTGAAAATGCCAAAGAGCAAGAAGCAGAATCGCGAGAGCCGCCAGAATCAGAAGAAGACTCGCCTTTTTGTCATGTGGACGTGGAGGCTACAGATGATGTTGATGCATGTTCAACTCGAACGGTGAGCACACAAACGCCACGTTGGATTCGCCGTGTTCAGCCGGCGAAAGATGAGAAGGACTCGTGCTGTTTTTTCTCAATTGTGTTGATCAGCCCTGGTGCTTGCAGGACCTGAAGAGAAAAGGACGAACCAGCATGATGCATCACAGTCTGTGCCTGAGTGATGCTTTCAACAATGTGTTCCCATGCAATGTTGCGAGCCAGGTCGGGCTCTCGATGGCTTTGGCACCAATGAACTACTGGACTGTGGCCGGATGCTGTTTTGCCACTGACTACTACACTACTACCACTACTACCACAACTACTGGTTTGCAAGCTGTGTGGATTGCACGCAGGCAACGTTGTTCTCTTCCGCCCCGTGAAGAAGAAGCTGGCAGAGCAGAACTGAGAGCAAAAAAAAGCGCCATTGTTTTGATTGCAACTGAGTATAGCTGCATCTTGGGTGGGGTCTTCCCTGTGCACAGGAGTAGTAGTAGTAGTAGTAGTAGTAGTAGTAGTAGTAGTAGTAGTAGTAGCAGTAGTAGCAGCAGTAGTAGTAGTAGTAGTAGTAGTAGTAGTAGTAGTAGTAGTAGTAGTAGTAGTAGTAGTAGTAGTAGTAGACGTAGAACAATGGACGGTGGACAGTGTCGTGTATATTCCCTCTGGCAACAATATATTCATGACATCGTTGATGAGCCTGCCCTGCCCCACCCCAGTCCAACTTGCAATCTGTTCCTGCTGTTGCTGCTCCGGCTTTTGCTGCTGTTGCTGTCCACTGTTCACTGTTCATGGTCTTCAATGCTCACTTTAAATCCTGCTTTCAAAGCCCCTTAAGGCTCCCAAAACGAAAAGGTCAGAAGGTTAGATACCAACGAACGGAAGGTCAGTTGCTTTGAACAGGGATTTTGAAGGTCTCCAGGAATTCCTCCGGGGCGTGGCCGGCGTCGAAGAAGACCTGGTTGCCGATCCGGACGACGTAGCCCCAGCCGTTCCGGCCGCGGGTCCCCGGCCGCACATGAGCCTCCGCCGGGAAGTGTCCGGCTTTGTACGGCACTTCTCCGGGCTGGTAGTAGGCGTCTGCGTAGATGATCGCCTCCGGGGTGCCGTCGTCGATGAACGGCGCCAGTCGTGGGCGGATATCCGCCAGGAGGGACCTAAGCGCCTTGAGGGCCGCCCGTAAGCCAGTCGACAGTTGTGCCGAAGAGTTGGCCGCCGAGTCGTGCGCCCGAGCGTATACCGGCTTTAGCGCCGCCTTGCCGAGGGCCCCGAAGGTCGACTGTGTGATGAAGTTGAGCCGTCCCGCCAGGCGGTTGGCATCGTGTGGCGCCAGTTCGTTCTCCGCGAGCGCCCGGTCGATGGTGGCCATCACCTTCTTGACCCGCGCCGGCGTGGGCGACAGCAGGACCCCTTCCTCCGTCACCGTCGCCAGCACTCCTTGAACGATCTGTTCTGCCGCCGGCGCCTGGGCCTTCGACGGCTTGGTCTGCAGGCCGAGCAACTCGAAGAAGTCCGCCATGCCGTGGAAGGCGCCGTCTGCCAAGGGGTCGCAGTCGACGCCGTTGAAGTCATCCACGAAGTGGCCCGCCAGGAGCCATAGGAGCACCCGTTGGATCGCCTGCAGTGCGTCCGCCGTCCGGTTAAAATTCCAGACCGACGCCGCTGCTCCGAAGCACATCGCCATGTGGAACCAGAGTGTGGTGCCGCCAGGCGCCTGAAGGAAGGTGCCTCGAGTGCGCCGGCTCCTTGACCGGCCACTGCCGGTAGGCGTTCAACAGGTCGTGCCCGTAGAGGCGGGCCGCAGCCAGGTGTTGACCCCACAATTCCACCACCCGCCGAACCATGTCGACGTAGTCGTCGACGAAGTGGTGCGTTGGCACGTCGTGCGCCGAGACTGTGGAATTGTGGCCTGACCTGCGCCAGTCCTCGCCGCGCCGGACCTTGGTGTTCCCGGCCTCGTCTTCCTGCAGGATGGCAAAGGAGGCCGCCGCGAAATGTTGGCCAGGAGGTGGCGGTAGTAGCCGGTCGGCGCCGGGGGTGTCAAGCAGGGGCACCGTCTTGATGTTCCATCCCGCCGGCGGCCGTGTGGGTCCAACCACACGCCCCAGCGGGCCTCCTGCACCAACTCCTCCAAGAGGGTGGCGTTGTGGTCCCCGCCGTGGGCCTTCGCGACGCGGCTCTTGACATACTGCCAATTCGCCGCCGCCAGGTCCTGCATAAATGCCGGGTGTTTGTAGCGGTCGTCCGTGCGGTTCCGCCAGCCGGGTCCGCGACGAAGCTCGCCGAGCATCTGGAAGCCGTTGGTCAGGTCCTCCGCGATGCCGGGCACGTCCGGGTACCCAGACCGGGATGTCGTGGCGCCACCTTCTCCAGGGCCGGCCATGGGCACCCCCCCGAACTGCTCCGCCATCCACTGCATGGTCGAGCGTCGGGCCCCCCTGTCGGGGATCCAGTTGCCTCTGTCGCCGAGGCCACCACCATGAGGATGGTCAGGATCCGCCGGGCCACCCCCCAGTGCCTACCGTTGGCAATGAGGCGGTGCCGGGTGCGGGGCGCCTCCGTGTACCCGGGGGGAATGCAGTGCAGTCGCTCCTTGACCTCTGCCGGCACCACATGGAGCTTCCCCGCCGTGTCATGCATCATGGCCTCCTCCGTGTAGTGCCATGGTGCGAACCGCCGGGCGTCAGCCACCCACCTGGCTTTCGCCGGTTCGGGGAGCTTCTGGCGTGCCCTCTTCGGCGCCGGTCGCCGGCGTTGTGGAGCAAGGCAGTCTCAACCGCTCCTGCGCCGTCACCCGGGCCTCTTCCAGCCGTAGGCGCCGAAACGAACCTGTTTGGTCCACTGAAGGGGGCGTCGGGTCGCCGGGTTGACGGTGAGTCCCTGGAGCGCCGGTGAGGCCCACCAAAGCCTGGGCCGGGAAATCCAACCAAAGTCGGACCCGCAAACCAGGATCGGCTCAACCGCCAGGGCCTTGGACACCGCCTCCGCGGCCGCCGGTTCCATCACCACATTCTGGAAAAGGAAGACCGTCTTCCTACCGTCGGCCGCCGAGAAGATCTCGTTCGCGAAGTCGACCGCCTTCAGGAAGAGGGACCCTCTCTCGCCGGCGTGCCCCGCCGCCACGCCATATTCTCTGGCATGGTGGGGCCGCCGTGATCACCAGGATGGCCGTCCTCTGTGGGTCCGCCTTGCGGATCTCCGCCACCATGTTCGTTGGCGACTCGTTCAGGAAGTCGCCACGGTGACGGAGCCAGGGGAGCCGGGCCGACGACAGCTTGGTGCAGGTGCTGTCCAGCTCCCACGCCCAGGCCGCCACGGGTTCGCCGTAGAGGTCTTCAAGGATGGCCGGAGCTGCTCCCACGCCGTCGAACAACGACAGGAGGATGTTGCCTGCGCCGCTTAAGTGCCGGACGAACGGTGATGCGGGCCCGTGGGGCGACGGGTACCTTGCCGTGGCTGTCCGAGTCCGGCGAGGCCCCGCGCTGTCCCTAGCGCCGGCGGCGCTCCGGCTCCTGGCGCCTGCGGTCCTCGTGCTCGCCGGTCTGCTGCCATCCCTGGCTGTTGTCCCAGCCGCCGCGGCCTCGCCATTGGCCTTTGCATGCCTTGGCCGCCGCCGTCCCAGCGATCATCCTGCCAGTCGGCGAAGCCGGAACGGCCTCCACCAACTTCCCGCTTCCCCCCGGCACGGCCGGCAGATGCTATACATCGTCCTCGGCGTCTTCTTCCTTCAGGACCCCGGCGGCGAGTTCACATGGACCCCCCCGGCCTGGCTCCGAGGCGTACCTAGGATGCAGGACACCATTGCCGCGGAGATCGCGGCGGGAGCCTCGACGGCATCGGCTGGGACACCGAGTACCACCCCGGCGGCATCCGCGGACCGGCCGCCTTCGCCGGCGCCTCCCGGCTTTGTCAATGCGCGGGTCCGCGGCAGGTGGTACACGGTGAACCGTGACACGGGCATGGGCTACCCTGATGCCCCCCGGCGAGTGTCACAGTCGGCGTCCCAAGCCGACAGAGATGCCAACGACGCGGCGTTCCGAGCGGTGATGGAGATCTATCACGAGCTCAACAGCCCGGAGCACGGCGTCCACTTGGAGGCGATGCACATGGCCGGCGCCGGCGGACATGTTGCCGTCCGTTGTGGAGTCCCTGGAGAAGCTGGAGGAGATTGAGGACGCGGCGAACCTCAGCCCGGCCGGCTTCCAGGCGGTCATACCCACGGCGACCGGCGCCGCTGACTATGTGATCAAGGCTCTTCCGCCCCACATCCGCGGCGGCCGCGTCCCGGAGAGGATCCCTGGCGAGGTATGGGTCGACCGTGGGATGGTGTGGATGCCCATGCCCCGGCTATGACGGCGCACCTTGCCGGAACCGGGCCGGCAGATGCCTGAGGCCAGTCATAGTCCGGCGGCACGGCGTGGCCAACCTGGAGGCTCACACCGGCCACCTGTGTGATGGTTGCCGGCGCGCACGCAATACGCGCGACCGGCGGTACTAAGTACCTGGTCCCCGGCCGGCGGCACTTGCACGCGGATGGCGTCAGTGTCCCGGCGCGGCTTTTTAAATTAGTGCATTTTCTCTTTCCCGGCGTCAGGATGCCGTCGCGGGCCTCTCTTGGCGACGGCGACGCATCTTCAGAGCTCGAGCCCTCGGCGTGGTAAGGCGCCGGCGGGTCTCACCTCATTTCACTGTACTGCCCGGCATTTTGTGAAAAGTGGGACGGCGATCGGCTTCGGACTCTCTTCCTCTGATTCTTTTTACCTGGCTATTTTTTACGGTCGGCGCATTCTAGCAGGGCTCGAGATCCGGCTCAACCCCACGCCTCGAGATGGCGGTCGACCTCTCGGCGCCGACGGGCTTCGCTAGGCTGGCCCGGGCGTTCGTCGATATTGGGGCGGCTGGGCTTCTACCCCGGCTGCCCGCGGCGGGCGTGGCCTCCGTCGAAGAGGCCCTGTCGAAGGCGGATGCCCTAGTACGGGCCGGGATCCCGCCCACGCCTGGAAGACCTGGCAGAGGTCACCACGACGGCCGGCGGCGTTGACTGCCGGTTCTGGGGAGCTAACTCCGGCCCCACCCGTGTCGGGGGCGGGCGACAGGGCGGTCTCTAGGTCCTGGCCGGCGCCACATCATCGAACACCACGGCGGTGATCGACGCCCGGCCCGACATCCCGGTTCGACGGGCGGTGGTTCGAGCTTCAAAGTGGCTCGCACTGGAAGCGGCGCTGCCGGAGAACCGTGAGGCCGCCCTGGCGGAGGTCGAACAAAACATCCTGGCGCGCTCCTCCCAGGCGCCGTTCCAGTCCCGCGTGCGGACTTGGATCGAGATGTCCGAGTCGTGGGGCCTGGAGCCCTGGCCGCTGACGGCGACCAACATCAGGTCCGTCGCGGCGTCCCTTCGCCGGGGTGGTTACCGCTCGGCGCAGAACTATTTCGACGCGGCGGTGACGTACCAGGAACACTTTAACGGCGTGCTGGTGGAGCCCATCCTTAAGAAGGCCATCCGGCGCTTCTGCAGGGCCATCCGGCGAGGTCTGCCCGGCTCCAAACTCAAGGCGGCCTTTCCGGTAGATCGCCTGGCGCCGCTGATCGTGCCGAGCGACCCGGCGGCAGACCGGGCTTGGTCGCCCTGGGCCACGGCGCACGCGGCAGACGCCCTACTACTAGGCGTGGTTTATGCTGCGTGAGATCGAGTTCTCCGCGGCGAGAACCCAGGACCTCGAGGTGGCGGACGGCGAGGTCATCCTCAAGATACCTCTGCACAAGGTGGCCATCGGCGGCGAGTCGGAGATGACCTCCGCTGCGCATGTCGCGGGGCGTGGGCCCGACTTTGCCCGGTGCACGCGGCGGCCCGCCACATCGACCGCCTCCAGGCGGCGGGCCTGTGGGTTCACAATGGACCGCTCTTTCCCGGACGGCGAAGGCGGCACCTGGAAGAAGTCTGAGGTGGTGCTCTTCTTCCGTCGGGTGCTACTGGCGGCGGGTGTGACCCTCACGACCTCGGACCACACCGGAGCGCTGGTACAGCTCTACGCTCAGCACCTGGCGAGAGTCGCCAGCGCATCCTGGCTGGCGGGTCGTCGGCGGCGGTGGAGAAGTACACCCAGGCGGCACCGCTGGCAGTGGCGGATCCTATCCAGGGCCGCCCCCTTGGAGGCCGGCGGCCAGCCAAGGGACGCAGGCTACCGGAGCGCAGCCGCGGAAAGGCGCCCGGAGCGGGGCGACGGGCCCGCGGAGGGACCGGCCCGTCAGCACCGAAAACTAGCCCGACCCACTCTTTTACCCTGGAGTTCGTGCCCCGGCCCCTCCAGGACGATGAGGCCAGGCTGGCGGCCCCGGTCCCACCGGCCCACTATTCTTCAACGCCAAGGGACGAAAGGTCCACGCGGCGGACCCGGCCGAGAACACGGCGGACCGCTTCTTGTGGCGTGCACGGGGTGCGGATGGCCCTACAGCATCCGGTCCTTTTATAGGATCACGGACCGACCGGCGAAGGCCGACTGGTGCCTTGGTGTTTCCCGGAGCATAAGGACCCGGCACCCGGGTCGCCCACTGAGGAGGCGGAGTCACCGGTCGAGTCGAGCTCGGCGTCTGACGGCACGTCGTCGTCTAGCTAAAACAGTGACGCATGCACACATGCAGTTTGCCGGCCCAGGCGCAGCCAGACTTACGCACCCGGCGCAGCTTCTTCGGCTCTGTCCTCGGCATACCGCTCTCTTCCCCTCCTTCTTCCGGCCATCGACTCGACGATGGCGGCGGCACCCTTGGTGGCTTCATCCATGGTGGCGTTCGGCGACCTGGCCACGTCGGCCGGGGCCGGCCCGGAGATGCTCGCCTACCTGGCGGCGCGCTCCTTGGATCGCACGGCCACCCTGGCGCTGGTGGCGGATGATTGGGCGGACGTCGACTCCAAGGTCTTCCGCCCCTACCGCGACGGCGTCAACATCGGCGGGACCGCGTCCACAAGGTGCCGGATGAGGACGCGGCGGTGGCGCAGGCGGTACTGCGTCACATGTGGTGCGAAGCCCGGCGGCAGTGGGAGCTCCACAGCCAACCTCCGGCGGCACCACCGGCCGCCACGCCGACACCGGCGAGGGCAGTCCTCGCGCCTTTGCCGGCGGGCCGGCCTCCCAAGAACTTCCCGGAGTGGGGCCGGCTGGTCGACGCCTACAACAAGGTCTTGTCGGCGGCGAGCCGCGGGAGTTCCCCACCATCCGGCTCCTCGGCGCCGAGGAGATACTGGCGCGGATGTATTGGGAGCACACGGCGAGGAAGCTCTACACCCCCGTGGGCTTGGGGGAGCTCCTGGCGAAGCGGACGTTCTCCTCCACCGGCGTCGTCAACCCGTTGGCGACCCGGCGCTCGGCCGCAGCCTCCAGCCAGCTTTCCCTGGCGGACGGGGCCGGCCCTTCACACCCAGAGGGGTATGGGGGGGTGGTCGACGGCCTGGATGCGATCCGCTGGGCATGGATCCTGGTGGGCCTCGGCGGCGCGGGCGGTCAACGGCTATGTTGATTGGTGGATCGGCAAAGCCCGGCTTCGCTCGGCGCAGCTCGAGGCGGTGGCGGACTACTGGGACGCCGCGGAGCACCGGCGAGCAGCGGAGATGCGCCTCGGCAAAACGTTCAGAGTGACCACGGCCATCATGGAGGATCACGGCGCCTTCAACGAGGCGATGCTGGCCCGCCTGGCGCCGCCCAAACGGACGCCTCCCAATCGCCCCACAGGGGGCCAGGAAGCGGCGGACTCGGACACGGAGCCGACCGGGAAAGGCAAGGGCAAGGGCGCGCCTCGGCGCTGACCAGGCGGAAAGAAGCGGCGCACTGGCGCCGGGAAAGACCAAGGCCAGGGCCGGCAGACGGAGCAGGAGTGGGCCGTTGTGGATGACACGCCGGGTGTCTGTTGCAAGCCTCCGGAGCCTCCCTGTGCCGAAGGAGGCACGTCGTGCTCAGCGGGAGGCTCCGGGGCGGGATCCGACATCGCCAGGTCTGCTGCTGCCATGGTGTCGCCAGGGGCCGCCGGCGGTGGCACTGGTGACCATGTCGTGCCGGCCGCCGACAACTGGGCCACCAGCACGTTGCGCTCCAGCATACTCCACCGCCGAAAAAGCGGCGCCAGGTTAGCGCCGTCCGAAAGCGCTCGCCTCAGCTCGGCCGCTGCCTCCTCGACCGAGATGTTAGACGACGCCGAGGACATGGCGCCGGGAAGGCAGCTAGCAGAAAAGCTTGAAGGCCGGGCGACGTCGATCCCAAAAGGCAGCTGCGGGATCGACGTTCGCCGGCTTGTCCTAGCACACACAAGTGTGTTACACTACAACTAGTCGGGATGCGTGTGGCTGTGCCCCTTGCAAACTGCCGGCCGCCGGAACACCCTGTGGACTAAGGGGGCTGCCCGCTTCCGCTTGAAGACTTTGGCTGAAGACCGTGAACAAGCGTGAACGATGCACCACAGACATTATTTCTGAACAGGCACTTCAAGCTGACGTGCTATGAGTCGCACGCTCGACGAATTGTAACGATGCAACGATGACACACTTAGCACCTGGAGCCTGCACATCCTCTGCGACTCCTTCGGCAACTGTTGAGGGGTGGCACCCGGCCATATCCATCGTCGATGCTTCACGTCGTGAGGTTAGCTCAACCCACCCCTCCCTACCCCGCCCTGCCACACCCCCAACACACAAGCCGGACGAAAGCATACAGAACTCACAATGCAAGACCGACCCCACCAGGCACTATCGAAATCTGAAATCCCTCAGTGCGACGTTTTGCTTAGCCAAGGATCGAAAGGTTCTACGGCACTTTGCACTGGAAATTTGTTGAGCGATTACCAACTACATCCCAACCTGCCCATCCAGGCGCACCCCAGGCGAATCTCAAGCGAACCCCAACACGAGTCCGCAAATCCAGGCGTGCCTGCAGAAAGGTGCTCTCCAATCTGGCATGAAGGCTGTCCTGACAGCAGCTATTGTCAGCTCAATGGAGTCAATGGAACTTCGCTTGAAATATGCCATCTGGAAGCGCTAGTTCCATAAAGTATATGTGCCATGTGACGGGTAACGGGCGACCGATGGAATGATGTGCTCTCTGGTACAGTACAGCACCTCGACGTTGATGCAGATCCGAAGAAGCTCTGCCAGGGGCTCAGAGGAAAACGATTTCAAGGGTGATAATAGAACAGCATGGGACAGCTGAGGACCAGACCAATAAAGAAGTCAACATAACACAAAGAATTCAGTACAACTCCGCAGTCTCGTCCCTGCTCGCACGGCCTCAACGAGTCAACTTTTGGCATCAGCAGGAACCAGCACAGACGATCTCCTAAGCTCGGCTCTAAGGAAAACGATTTCGAGTGTGGGAAAATGGGCCCGTCCAACCTGGTCGAGGAAGTCGAAGCACAGGAACAACAGCATAGAACATGCTTTCGCTGTGAAGCTGGGGAGCAGACACTTGGAGTGGAAGTCCACACAATGACAAAAAGGATCTCCGTCTCGTCCCTGCTCGCACAGCTTGAACAACTAAGGGTTTGCAATCAGCAAAAACTTTGCCCATCATCGATGCTAGCAAAAGGGTAAGACTGTAACCGCCTGCTGCGAGTACGTAACTAGCGCATGACGCCACCTTGCCGAAAATCGGAAACGCCGCAAGCGGAACCAGATGCAATTGTAATTCTTGAGCAGCAGCATCTAGGGACTCTTCACACATTCATGGCACACCGAAGCTTCACGGGGCCTCGCTGGTCTCGAGAGCTTGGCAATACCTGGTTGATGCATAAAAGGCCCTTCCCCTGAAGCCTTCTCTATAAAAATAACTCACTGTCAAACCTGCCCAAGGAGACTGGGATCAAGGCTGGTCATCGTCGATGGGTCGCGGCGAGCCATGGCCTGGATGCAAACCCTCGCACACAAAGCTAGACTGATTGCAGTCTGCTACAACTGCGAAGCAGTTTTCTTTACGGGGCGTTGTGCTGCTCGTGAGACGGATTTCAGCACACGACGAGGCAGTGTATGTTCTGCCTCACGTCTTGGAAGTTCGGAGATTTCCTTAAGGCCTCCAGCTGCCGCTTTGTGTCTGCATAGGTTCGAAGGGGATCGTCATCAGCAAGCCAAAGGAGCTTCAGCTGCTGAAGCATCCAGGTCTGGCATTTGGTCCGAGATACCTCTGGAACTGAGGTTGGTTGAAAACTCTGTAGCGCTGTGACCAAGCAGGACGCCCACTCCTGACGTTGAGGCCTCGTCAGTGATCTCAGGAGATCTTCGAGATGTTGCATGCAGAGCTTCAGAGAAGCCCAGGTCGGAGGCATCTGCGACCGGCTCGCTGACGTCATGTCTCTCATCTGACTGAGCATGGCTTCTGCGACCGGCTCCTTCACGAAGTCAAGGCCGCCCCAGATATAATTCCTGACTACGGTGTGTGCTGCTTTACGCACAGACATATCCTGGTCAAGGCAGTATCCCAATGCGAAATCGAGGTTTTTGACCACGACTGCGCGGACGACACTTTCGGCAAAATGAGTTCTGTCGGCTTGCCCCAGCGCGATACACCATTCCTGGCCTGAGATGCAGCGATTGGGTGGGCTTTTGACGGCACGACTGACAGGAGGATTTCCTACACTAGATTTGGAAGTCGCCGTACGAATCAAGCAGCATTCAAAGATCTTCAGGGAGCCGACATCGTCGCCAAAGGCTTCGGATTTGGACAGGTGCGGAGGGCTCTCCAGGCGGTGCACAGCATCACGAAAGGCCACCATCGAGGCGGACCTTAACAGATCTGGCATACGGGCATACGGCAAAAGCGGTCTACCACAACACCAGCACGGAATATGGCAGCACTCAGGGCTCGGCGTGTCGAACCTGCCGAGCTCGGCCACGTGCCGCGTCAGCACCTCGGGATGGAATTCGACAGACCGCTTCCGTGATGGATGCGTCGCGTGCTGAATTCACTCCGTAACTTCCTCTCGTTGCAGACCTCTCACGACATATCTTCAGAACTGCATACGCTTCCGGTCCAGGAGGAGTTGCGCGGAAAGCCCTACCAGACCCGGCCTCCGGACTCCGGGTGTGCCGAGAGGTCACGCGCCAGGCCACCAGGTCTGAGACCTTCGGGAAAATGCTTTTCAGCATCCCGGCGCCGCGAGTCGCGAGACGCTGACGTCACCCCCTTTCACAGCACTTTGCGACTAGTGTTGTGAGATGTTGTGAGACAAGCCACGGAGAGGTGCTGCAGCAGAACAGGCCTCGGACAGCGACACTGACCATCGCTTGAATAAAAAGAGTTTCACCCGCTCGGGGCTCGTTGGCGGCCAAGTCGCAAAGCCTCGAAGGAAGGATGAAACGGATCGATGGCTGCCTCGCGCTAGCATTCTCAAGCATCTACAGTGGCCAACAGTCTGCGCCGCTGGGCCGACTTGACAAAGAACATGTATGTGAGTCTACACCGGCGGGTCACGACGGAGAACAGGCATGAGTGTGGGACGAGTGGAAGCGGAGCCTGCGCCTTCTCAGCGACGAAATCCAGCTCGTGTGCACCAGTCGGGTCCATTGAGGCTGCGCTTTCTGGCTTCTTGTCTTGCCTCTCCGGATCCAAGACACCCGGCTGCAACAGTTGCAAAAGCTTGGCATGCAAAGCGCGGCCCAGGGTCCCCTCGCCCATCTTGGCCCGGAGCGCTCCAGGCACATCTTCCTTTCAACGGAAGAGATCAGCAGGGCTGTGCTCCTTTGGGACTTCTATTTTCAGGGCCTTGGTATTGGGCTGCTGCTCATCATCCTTCATCTCATCATCGGAGCCGCACTCCTCAGGGAAGTGCTGGAAACGTACTCACTCCATCTCACTCCTTTGTACAGCTGACGTCGGTGGCACAAGGATTGTTGTCGGTGTGACACTCTGCTTGCGTCCTTCGGAGAGCCGTCCCCGTCGTCACTGCTGTCGCAAGTGTCGCAAGTGCTTCGACCAGGCGCAGACGGACTGTTTCCCTCTCCTTGGCCGTACCTTGGCACAGAAAGAAATGCGACTTTCTGTGCATGTACCGGACACCGCTGTTGAAGCTACCCCGAAGCAAACTCGCGGACTGGATAGTCTGCAGAGCTCAAGAGCCGCTATGTGCTCCCGAAATCACAGAAACAGCAGTCCTGATTCACAAGCCATATCGTGCGCAATCCGCGCATGCACTTCATGTGAATCGTCGTCCCCGATGCAGTAGCCAAGCAGCTCATCACTCGTAATGTCGCTCTCCCGCTCTGTCTTTGTGGTCAGGCGCCTATGTGCAACCGCCCTTCACTATTCTCAGGGGACAAGGCAACACAAGAGGCTCCGGTACAGGAAGACCTCCAAAAGCACAGCCTAGCTTTGATTTCGCTTGTGTCACCATAGTGCAAACAATCACACAATGTCGCACACAACGACCTGGCACTACAGCTACTACACCTCTGTCTACAGCTGTACCAGCTGCCCGAATGCATAGCTGGCCGTCAGACTGTCAAATTCATCTATCTCGGAGCAAAAGCTTGTCGACAAGTTGCGTTCGGCACCCTTGAATCATCTCCTGCACATGCAGCCTTCAGTGACGATCGATGCATGCGGATGCAAGAGAAGGAGAAACAGCCCGCGATGAGCTCAGACTGAAGGCCGGCCCTAGAAATGCGCAAGCTTCAGGCGCCACACGGTTTCAATGCTTCTGACCAATCGCGAATCCAGCTTAGACCCGTCAATCGAACCAACTCCAGCTGCGAAACGCATTGCGAAGCTTCTCGGTGTCAGCCCAGCCGGCACTGTTCTCACGGCGAAAATCATGGAACCTGAGCGCCGTTTCCACATCTTGCAGCCTGCACCTGCCTGTCACCACCGGAACAACCTCCATCCTTTAAGCACATTGTGTAAGCGTGCCACGGTACACGCTTGCTTCAAAGCTTCTGACCAGGATGGCACTCGCAGCGCGCAAACGCGAATCCAATGAGCTGCAGCTGAGAAGCGACTTGCGCAAAATAGCGGTTTGAGCGCAAAGTTCGTTGTAGCCATGTCGAAGAGTGACGCACCTGGGCTCCGCTTGAATGGGATGCAGGCAGTTCTTAGACCAGCTACCACTAGCACGCAAGGCCCGGGACATTTGTCTTTGACCCGATCAGGCATGCAACTATTCTAGGACCTACCAGCACGAGCGCGCAACTATTCCAGCACCATTCCTGTCAAGCATGCAGCAGTTCCAGGACAGCTTGTTTGCACCAGCAACTCAACGCACAGAATGCACAGGACAGTTCTCTCTGGCCGACAAGGAACACGATCCGATCAAGCATGCAGCTGTTCGAGGACTGTTTTCTGTCGCCAGGTACTACCAGCACCACATGCCCAGGACATTTCTCTGACCGACCACGAGTACGATCCGATTAAATTAAGCACCCGACTGCCTCATCAAGCACGAAACTATCTCAGGACGGTTGTCTTCGACCAGCTGCTAGTTCATGACAATTCTCTCTGCCCGACCTTAAACCACGATCCGATCAAGCATGCATGTGTTCCAGGACAGATGACCAGACACTAAATAAACTCACATCTGGTCCTGCCTCCATCCTAGCATCCCGGAAGTGCAGGCGAATAGTAAGAACTGCAATTAGCAATAACAGCACCACTGGTATAACTAGCTTGTGCAACAGTGGCGATCACAGTAATAGTGCGATGATGAAAATCGCACTAGCGAAATGGAAACAGTAACAGTAGTCATGATAGTGACTGTGCTGGTGACAGCGACAGTGCCCGTGGCGGTGCGAATACTCATACTTGTAGCAGTACTGATAGTAGCTTAGTAAGAATAAGGGCAATAGAAACAGTTTTCGTGATAGAGATAGTGATGGAGACAGTGACCGTGAAAGCGACAGTGGTGACAGGATATTGACAGTGACAATGATAGTGATAGGAACACTGAGTCATAGGAATACAAATACTAACTAACACGCACATAAACACTAAGACTGATACTAATAAATATTCGCCTCGGGCCCGGCCGAAGCGGTCAGAGTTTCCCAGAGTGAAGCCTTGTTGCCCCACTCCCCTCCCCACTGACCCACCCACTTAGCCGGCCACTGACCCCCGCACCCGCAAAAAGCAGCGAGCCCCGCTGTGTCACGTTCTGGGGGCAAAGGCACGCCACAGTCAGACATCGAGAGCATAGTGTCATCCACAGGTTTGTTTGTCATATGAGGGTGCGTGAATAACCCCCATCCATTTACATGACCCTTAACATGGTTATCGTTTTATTTTACTCTTGTCGTTTTACAGGACTTGGGGTCTGTGTGATCTACTTCATGCGCCTTTTGCCACTCTTATCGTTTTACAGGCAATTGGACTGCGTGTTCTAAAAATCTCGGTTATCGTTCTTTTTTACTCTTATCGTTGTACAAGGAATAGGCAATGTTCTTGACTTAAAAACGCTTTCATCTAAACCCCGATAGCGGGGTTTTTCATCATCCCTCATATTCCATTTGTTTCAATGTTGCTGGTGCGGGGCAGACAAGTCTGTGCTCCGTTAAATCAACAATGAGCGAAGAGTGTCGGCGTTGGGGGGCGCTAATCCGTCCGTTCCACTCGCTCCACTCGCTCCACTCGCTCCACTCGCTCCACTCGCTCCACTCGCTCCACTCGCTCCACTCGTTACGAGCGAGTCGGAGTGGAGCGAGTGGCGCGAGTGGCGCGGACGAGGTTTTGGGATGTTGAGAGTCGGGTCTGTAATCTAAGGGCCAGATACTCCACTACTCCGACCGTTCCAATCGTGCCAGTCGTTCCACTAGAAGCGTGTTCCATTCGTGCCACTCGCTCCAGTCGCCCCTGTACGTTACCTGTTCCACTCTTTCCTTTGACTGAGCGAGTGGCGCGAGTGGAGCGAATGGAGCGAGTGGCGCGAGTGGCGCGAGTGGCGCGAGTGGCGCGAGTGGCCCGAGTGGCGCAAGTGGCGCGAGTGGCGCGGACGAGGTTTTGGGATGTTGAGACTCGGGTCTTTATAATTTAAGGGCCAGCTACTCCACTACTCCGACCGTTCCAATCGCACCAGTCGTTCCACTAGAAGCGTGTTCCACTCGTGCCACTCGCTCCAGTCGCCCCTGTACGTTACCTGTTCCACTCTTTCCTTTAACTGAGCGAGTGGCGCGAGTGGAGCGAGTGGCGCGAGTGGAGCGAGTGGAGCGAGTGGCGCGAGTGGCGCGAGTGGCCCGGGTGGCGCAAGTGGCGCGAGTGGCGCGGACGAGGTTTTGGGATGTTGAGAGTCGGGTCTTTATAATTTAAGGGCCAGCTACTCCACTACTCCGACCGTTCCAATCGTGCCAGTCGTTCCACTAGAAGCGTGTTCCACTCGTGTAACTCGGTCCAGTCGCCCCTGTATACGTTACCTGTTCCACTCTTTCCCTGAACTGAGCGAGTGGCGCGAGTGGAGCGAGTGGCGCGAGTGGCGCGGACGACTTTAATTTCCCCCCCGTGTGGCCGCAATGAGCGTTTTCCCCGATTCTGTTCGACATCTATGCCGCAAAGCACAAGTGTTTACCGCGATCCTCTTCGACATCTATGCCTCACAGCAAGCGTTTACCCCGATCCTGTTCGCATCTGTGCTTCAAAACACAATAGTTGCCCCGATCCTTTTCGACATCTATGCCTCAAAGCGCGCGTTTACCCGATCTTGTTCGACATCGATGCCTCAAAGCAAGCGTTTACCCCAATCTTGTTCGACATCTATGCCTCAAAGCACTAACACGATTCTGTTCGACATCTATGCCTCAAAAAAAGCGATTACCCCGATCGTGTTCGACATCTATGCCTTAAAGCAAGCGTTTACCCCGATGTTGTTCGACATCTATGCCTCAAAGCACAAGCGTTTACCTCGATCCTGTTCGACATCTATGCCTCAACTCGAGCGTGCACCTTACCCCGATCTTGTTCGACATCTATGCTTCAAAGCACGCGTTTACCCCGATCTTGTTCGTTTTCTATGCTTCAAAGCAAGCGTGTACCCCGATCTTGTTCGACATCTATGCTTGAAAGCAGGCGTTTACCCCAATCCTGTTCGACATCTAAGCCTCAAAGCACAAGTGTTTATCCCGATCCTGTTCAGCATCTATGCCTCAAAACACAAACGTTTACCCCGAATTCGTTCGACATCTATGCCTCAAAGCAAGCGTTTACCCCGATCTTGTTCGACATCGATGCCTCAAAGCAAGCGTTTACCAAATCTTGTTCGACATCTATGCCACAAAGCACGAGTGTTTAGCCCGATCTTGTTCGACATCTATGCCTTAAAAAAAGCGATTACCCCGATCCTGTTCGACATCTATGCCTCAAAGCACGAGTGTTTACCCCGATCCTGTTCGACATCTATGCCTTAAAAAAAGCGATTACCCCGATCCTGTTCGACATCTATGCCTCAAAGCAAGCGTTTACCCCGATCTTGTTCGACATCTATGCTTCTCAAAGCACAAGCGTTTACCCCGATCTTGTTCGACATCCATGCCTCAACTCAAGTGTTTACCTTACCCCGATCTTGTTCGCGTCTATGCCTCAAAGCAAGCGTTGCAGTACCCCGATCTTGTTCGAAATCTGAGCCTCAAAAGCACAAGTGTTCCCCGATCCTGTTCGAGGCCTATGCCTCAAAGCAAGCGTTTTCCCCGGTCTTGTTCGACATCTATGCCGCAAAGCACAAGTGTTTACCGCGATCCTCTTCGACATCTATGCCTCACAGCCAGTGCTTACCCCGATCCTGTTCGCATCTGTGCCTCAAAACACAATATTTACCCCGATCC